GCTTCTCTGATAATCTAGGACTCTAGGTTTCTGCAGTTTCCGCGGACGCTTCGGTTCGGAAATCGCAGACGAGACCGCAAGAGCACGGAACGTCGTGGGCAAACTTGGAGGCTGCTCGCGAAACCTGATAAGCCGGGCGCAATATTTTTCTTAGATGCATCTAGGACGTGTATGGCTTGAAATCCTATTTCTGTCTCGGCGCTCCGATTTTTATATTTCGTGCGATGGAATGCGACTCGGGATGTATTTGATATGCTATTTAATAGGTTTGTTGTCTTTCATTCTTTATTCTCCTTCTGGAAAAATGATAGAAATAATAAAGCTAACGTCAATATTTTTGACAGAGAATAAACAGGTTGACGTTGAAATTGTACATATTTAATTTTTTGTGTGTCAGAGAGAGATGATGAATCGTCATTTATTTGGCGCTCCCCTTAAGCGAGAGAGAGAGAGAGAGAGAGAGAATTGTCGAGTAACAAATAAAATCTAATGTTAATATTGTTCATTTAGAGTTTTTTATTTTGGTACATCAACACAGTTAAATTTGTTTTTGGTATTATTACATTTTCAACAGAGAGTTAATAATATTGATTTCTTTAATGTTACTTTCTAAGTGCAATTTCTCTAAGGGAGTTAATACAGTTGATATTAACAGAATTAATAATAAAATAGAAAATGCAAAAGCAAAATATAAAGACAAAGAATTTATCTATAAATATCAATCCCCTAGAATGTAGGCTAAATATAAATTGAAAAACTACGTTTATAATTCTCTGTCAATTTCGACACATCGCGTTAATACATGTTATTTGCCATCATTAATATTAACAGATCAATGAAGCAGAAAGTTTGATAAAGACACAAAATTACGTGCTACAAAAAAAATTTCTTGGATTACTTAATTGATATTAACGAGTCTTTGGCCGGCTTCTGAAATCGAGTAATTCTCAGAAATGTACGGTTGATGCTAACTATACTTAACTATACTTAACTATACGTCCAGGCGGAAGCCTGTGGCCATCTGACTTACTTAACCCAATTGTTCGATCTAGTCTCGGGGCTTATCCGGAAGTAAGAAGCTTTCGACTAGTTGTACGAGTTTATCAAGTTACGCTCAAAATTAATCAGTAGCAAAATTTCGCGCGTTTTCTTTTTGAAATTCAAAAATTATTTTTCTTTTCACGCTTAATAGGCATAACTTTTATTTTATTATAAATTTTTATTATAAATTTGCAACAATTTGATTTTTTCGCATTTCTGTAATAATATTTTAACTCTTTTATTTAGTTGGAATCTAGATAACAAAAAGGTTACTATCCTACCATAGTACATATGTAGCTTCTGCTGATCTCTTAAAGAATGTCAAATAATTGAAATTGGGATATACGTAGTGTTTTCCTCGAGATATCTCTCGATATCTTTCGTGGTTACGTTCGTCGCGGTTACGTGCCACATTTTCCAACATCTTTCCCACGTCTCTATATCGCGATACTATCGCAAAAAAAAAAAAAACGTTTCGTTCCGGGTATTTCGGAAAAAAGATGTCACGGGAAAAGCGGCGGATAAGCGACGGTGGAGGCGGTTACGGAAAGCATCTTAACGAAATTCCGCCCGCACTTGGATGCATGGCCTGGCAAAGTGACACTCCTCCGACGAGTAATCGAGTTATTCGACGTCTTACCGAACCCTCTTCTCGTCCTGCCACCTCCTACGATCGCTTGCCAGCGCCCGCTCGCCGATTTGCTGATTACTCCGCGAGCTAAAAAAGAATTCGACGAGGAAGGGAGGACAAACGAACGCGAGCTGAAACAAGCAAATTTTTCTATAATTTGCCTAGTGTCGTTACTCTTTCCGTCGCTTCTAAATTGTAATTATTGTCAGACCATTACCAATAGGTATTACCTATATATTGTACTTAGGATAAACAATTTTTTGTCAATATTTTACTTATTCACTGAATAAACACTTATTCAGGTGTTTTTACAAGAAATAACAATATTGTACGACAGGGACAAATTTTTTATTTTTCTGGGTGTGAAGTATTTCATCCAGATGAAGGAGAGGGGGGGGGGGGAGAGGGAGATAGAATTTCACATCCACAAGAGCTCTAAGTGTAGAAAGCTCTATACCCTTCACAAGGAAGTCTTCGTTCTTGCCGTGCGAGCTTTTCTCAAGAATTAAATATTATATTGAACAGCGAGATACGTGTATAATAAATTTAGACTGGTATTAAAATAAACTTCATCTGACAATGGTTTATATAAATCGCAAACACAAATATGACGAATATATCAAATTTTAATTTGATTCTTACTTTCTAAAAGTGAATTAGTGGAATCATCACTGATTTTTAGTGTACATCATTTTCCAATGGCATATATTTTGAACTGTGATAAACAGTGACTATTTTAATGTTATTTTAGTGATAATATATTAATTCAAACAGTGAATATCACTGAAAGACAATGTTTTACTGTTTAAACAGTTTTGAGAACTAAAATTCACTGTTTTTCAGTAATATCCACTGTTTAAATTAATATATTATTACTGAAAAAACAATGAAATATATCGATTATCACAGTTCTAAGTGTGCCACTGGAAAATGATATACAAATCAGTGATGATTCCACTGATTTTCAGTGCAGTATATCATTTTCCAGTAACATACTTTAAAGTGTAATAAACAGTGACTATTTCAATGTTGTTTCAGTGATAATAATTGTTTAGTGATATTCACTGATTCAAACAGTAAAAGATAGTGAATTTCAGATAGTAAATTCTCAAAATTGTTTGACAGTGAAACATTGTCTTTTAGTGATACTTATTGCTTGAATCAGTATATTACCACTAAAAAAAATTGAAATATTCACTGTTTATTACAGTTCTAAGTATGCCACTAGAAAATAATGTACACTGATACAGTGATAATTCCATTGATTCACTTTTAAAGACTAAAATTTATTTATTAAACCGCAACAGCTCACGATTAATTATTTGCAATTAGTTAAATTCTTCAGCATATAAATACTCAGAAACATTGGCGTTAATAAATCTTCTCTCTTTTCTGTTTAATTGCATCATAATTATAGAAAAAATCTCGAAGAAATTACTTTTAGCGGCAACAAATTAAGGGTCGAGAAATCATGTCTTGCAGAAAGCCTCCACGATGGTCCTTCTCATGTTCACGCGGTAGTATATTAATTATTTGTGATGCTTATCGGCGACGTGGGCGAGACATGTCTTATCTTCGTCATTGGGGATGGCTCCACTAATTGGACAAATCTTTTCACCAATCGCATGGCCGAGCCATTAGTGGAGCCGTGTTATCAATTACGTTAGTGCTTTGTTATAGAAATGGAAATTTATCAAAACTTGGACGATTTAAATACAATATAAAACACAATAATTTAGATATTATAAATACAAATATAATACAATAACACAGTAAAAACAATTTTAGAATTAATCTAACATCTAAGAATAATTTTTCACAAATAAATGAGGAAGGTCTTTATCGGTTGCATGAGATGGTTCTTAATGCCTAATAATATTTTTGCTTGAATTTACATATATTTTCCAGTTTATGCAAACTGCGCACCAATTATTTATCGATCTTGAAATGCAGCTTCCAACTGAAGCTAGAGTTGTAATATCATGAATTAAATTATCAGGCAATTTAATTATATTAATGCTAATGAGCAATCTTTAAATTCCTATTAAAAAATTTATCGCGGAAAATTTATTAGTCATATATTTTTTACACTTTCAATTTTAGCTTCAATATTTGATAATTTCTGGATATAACAAAATATTCAGTCTCCGCTTTACACACGTCCAAATTCATATCCCAGCGCAAAAAGATTCTTTCATAAGGAAAAATCCGGTAGTCGCCGAACGGCGAAGACGAAAATTCGACGCAACACGAGTGACGATGACGTTGGCGTCCGGTGTGCCCCATTTCCGAGGTGCGCAGCACCCGGCTTGAAGATATTCGGATTGGATATTCGCGTTGTTTTTAACAATTGCGGAATCCGCAGGATCGCCAGAGACGCGATGGGTGGAGGAGAAGGAAGAGGAGGATAGAAAGACGAGGACAGGGGGGGACACGGGTTGTAGGAGGAGCGGTTGGCTTTGCAATGCGGCTCGGCCAATATTTCAAACGGCCAGACATTCGGAAAGAATTGACAAGGTACGCGCGGCGTTCTCTCCTTTCGCAAAACAACCCTTTCGTCCGCGGGCCAGGCTGGCGTCGCGGCGCATCCCCCGGCAGAGAACGAGGGGGAGGAGAGGGGGGGGAGGGGGTCGAGCGACGGAGGAGCCCCGCCGGCGGCCATCTTGTTGTTTGTGCAACCGCCGTCGGCCGTCACACTCGCACCCATCGCACCGGCGCCACCCTCTATCGTGTCCCATTGGCGCGTTTAATCGCCAACAACCGGCTAACGTCGAAAAGCGGATTAATCCTTAAGGATAATTGGAAGGGAATCGTCCCGACTGCATTTATGCGGAAAAATAAGGGGCGGAGGGGGAGAGCGTGTGTGGGCGAGAGAGAAAAGCGAGTCACTGGTAACGCGCCAAGTTTCGCCCTTCGCGTGTTTTTATGTCTCTAAACGCGCGAGTGCAAATACAGAGACAATAAGAATCGGCAAGATAGGCTGATTCTACCGGATAGAATCAAAATGAGTTTTCAATTTCGGTCCCAACTTTTTGACAAAGTTGCGTAATATTTCGACGTCGTTGTAACGCGATAGTGAATTAAAGATAGCAGTAAACTTTTATTTCGATTAATAAATTGCAATTTTTTTTAAAGAATTGAACATAATAATCTAAAATGAATTGCAGCAACAAAATAAGTCACATGTTCCATTGGTCGGATTTCGGCTTTCGGGCGTCGAAGATTAATATGCATCTCCTCTATCCGTGCATCCTCTCGTCCGTGAGAAGGAAGGGGTGAAGCGACTGCATTTTGCAGGAGCAATACTCGCGTTTTGATCGCGCAATGCGAAAAAATATTTTCGCGCCACGCCAGAATTGTTTTCGTGACCGCGCGCGGATTTAACGTTAAATGTCCCCGGGCGTGAAAGCGCTCGCTTTTAACGCCGTCGAGTGTATAGCCTGCAATTCGTAAATCCCAGCCGCGTCGATTTGAATCGCCCGGTAGCGCGATGGAGGACGCCGATAGAGCCTCCAATAGAAGGCGAGGGGTCAATAACCCGGGTGTACCCACAGCTTTTTCCATAGCCGCGAAATGGATGTGGAGGCTCGTTGCGGGCGGCAGCCGAAATGCGCAAGTATTCCTTCGGCGGAGATGATCGAGTTTCGCCGCAATTGAAATTGATATTGATATTTTTTTGCGCGCCGCTGTCGCCGCTACGGCGCGACGCGTGCGAATAACGCTCGTGAGAAAAATCGAAATATTTGCGTT